CCTCCGGGGGGAAACTGAGTCAGGACGGAACAGGAGACCGGTGCGGAGAAATAGTAGCATGTGTACGCCGAGGAGCACCCCGTTAGGCGTACGCTACTGAGGGACGGGGCCCACAACGGAGAGGAGCCTCCACTGTGTGCTCCGGTTCGGTATATAGCCGGAGACAGGAGCACCCATTCAGCTCCGGTTTATACCTGCAGCGGCGGTACCCGCTGCCCGGGAGTTGACGGTCGGAGCACCAAGCGTCAACTAACAATAAGTTGACTCGCCTGCTCCGGAGGGGCTTTTATACCCCCCGGACGGAGACGCGCGGGGTGAGGCGGCGGGGGCGGGTGCGGCGTTGCCGGTTGCCGTCAACGCGTGGCAACCGCGCATTATCGATTTTCTCCGGCTCGCGTCGACGCGGCAACCGCGCGTTATCGATTTTCTCGCCGGCTGACTCCGACGTGGCAACCGCGCGTTATCGATTTTCTCCGGCTGGCTCTATTTCCTTCTCTCTCGCTCGAGGAATTCGGGTTTTTTCTACGCGGCCGCACCTCCCCGGTCGCCCTCGTTACACCCCCCCCTTCTTTCGGAGAGCGGAATTTCCGGATTTCCGCTCTTCGAAATTCTATCTACGGAATACTTACAATCTTCTATAATTGGCGCTTAGACCAATGGCGTACCGCGCCAGTCGCCGGGTCGAGTCGGAGCGCGTACTTCGTCTTCCCGATCCGGGTGCGCCAGCGTTTAACGCCAATGGGCACCCGGATCAGGCACCCGTCAACGAGGACGTCGTGTTCTTCTCGCGGTGTTGCGCGCACTACGTAAAACGGGTCCCTCGGCATCCGGGGAGGTATCCCCGGAGCAGAGGATCCCGCTCCGGTCACTATTTCGGCCCGCTTGGGCCCGGCGGCGGCAGGGGCGGTCGCCGTATGCGGGAGGTCTCTTATAATCGGCCTCTCGGTGGCCGGAGCGAGGGACGGAGCGGTCGGAGCGGTGGTCTCGGCTGTCAGCCTCTGGATGGCCAGCGCGAGTGGCACGACCGGGGCAGCGGCCCCGGCCGCGGAAACGGCGGCGACTCTCTTCGTCTTCGGCGCCTTCACCAGCCGGATCGTATGTGGCGGTAAAAGAAGATCGTGGCGGATGGTCGGCCCGGTGGTGGAGGAAACGGCGGGTCCCCCGACCGGGGCGGAGGGAGGAGCGACACGGTTCGGCGGCGTGTTCTCCTCGTCCGAGAGGTCCACCATCGGGATGTTCTCTGGCGGCTGCCGTGGTCCCACGAGTCCGCGGCGGATCATCTCCGTCGTGTCCCGGATGCGGCGGGTGACGACCCTCCTCCAGAGCTGCCCCCCGTCACTTAACTGGGGCCTGGAGCCCGGGAGTAGGCTCGGCGTAATCCCTACTAGGGGCGGTCGGGCGGGCGGCACGACTTTCCGCGGAAGCGTCGGCGTTCGTGAGGTCGGATCCGTCATCACGAAAAGTCGGAGCGAGACTGATTTTACTTCGCCCGGTCCGCGAAAACTTATCGGAGCGCGTGGGTGGCGGAGAGGGGGAAGAGCGGTCAGCGGTCGGCGATTTCGCGGAAATACAGGCTTCACGCGAAGTTCGGAGAAGTACAGGTGTCCGGAAAAATTCGCGGAAATACAATCTTCGCCAGTAGTGCGAACGGAATATAGGCCCGGCAGTAGTTTAAGCGGGGTACCGGTCCTAGCAGTAGTTTAGCGAAATGTAGGCCCCGGCAGTAGTTTTAAGTGACGGACGGGCCCGTCAGGGGCTTATCGCTTTCAAGTCGCGTATGTGTACGCGCGGCACGGCTCTTCCGCCGTCGGTGGCTTTTAGGTCGAAGATTACAGGCGATCGCACCCGGTGAATTATATACGGACCTTCATATTTTGGTGCGAGCTTTGCATTGAAATCGTCCGTTTTGCTGGAAAGTTCGTGCGTCCGTTTCAATACCTCTTCGCCTATTCGGGGTTTCCAGTCTCGTCGCCGTAGGTTGTAGTGATGTTGTTGTCGCTGGAAACTCTGTGCTAATTTGATCCTTGCGAGTTCCAATGCCTCGCGCATTTGTTTAACTCGCGTCTCGGGATCTTCTGGCTTCATGTCCTCGGCTTTCTGTTTGCGGTTCCCGGATAATTGTAACTCCCGTCCGAAGTTCAAGTAGGCCGGTGTGTAGCCTGTCGACTCGCAGTGGGCGGTGTTGACGCGTACGCCAATTCTGGGATGAATCGATCCCACTTTTTCTGTGATTTCTCGAT